CAGACTGACGAAATACACTGCTGAGGGGAGCAGCGGGCGCGGCAGGAGAGGTCTGTTGCGCCATGTGGACCCTTGCTGGCAGCCGGGGATCGAACCGGTGCTGCAGAGGCTGCGGGCAGCTTCACAGCCCAGCGCTCAACTGCTGCACCACCAGGGGAGGCCCAAAAAGACTTTTTTTTTTTAAAACTGGGAGGTGTTTGGTCATATGGACTGGACCCCATAGATCCCAGGGAGGCAATGAGCTACTTTGATCAACCCCACAGAGGGCACATAATCCTGTTGCCATCCACGTTGACCTGAGATGTCAGAACAGGACAGGTCTGCCACAGTTTAGAAAAAGCGTAGCTCCAGCTAGGAGAGGTTGAATGGAATTCTGACCCGGGAGTTATAACTTCTTTAGGACTCCTTAACAGTGAGACAAGGTCTTCGCCTATATGTTTAGAAATTCTGTTTAGGGATCATGGCTCTATTTTTCCTTTTTTTTGTGGAATGATGTCATTTTGGTATTTTTTTGAGGCCTCTTTTTTTTGTTAAGTGTTCAGTTCTCTACTGTAAGAGGATCTGTAGCACCAGGAAGTAGATGCAGTGGCGCTTGTTCTCAAAGAATTGACAATCTGCAAATAATGTAAGGCAACACATTGGTAAGTTCACCATCCCAACTAGACCACGACCTCCTGAAAGCAGGGATGGTGCCTTGCCCTTCTCTGCTCTCTTGTGCCCCACACATACGTGGTGCTCCAGTGTTCTGCTTTGTTTTCATGGTTAAATGCCAACTGTGGTATGATTCTAAACTCTGGGGTGCCATACCTTTTTGATTCATGTGCCCATTCTGGTTGATGGGTAGTGCCTGATGGGGTGCCCTATAAGGCTGCATTAGGGAGCAGTGGGGTAAGTGCTGTCGGAAGACTGATGAGTAGGTCTGCTGCAGGGGTGCTGGGGAGAAGAGGCAGCAGCATGTGGTGGTCATATCTGTATCCTATAAGTACATCAGTTTTGTAAAAGAGGAAGCTGAATGGTTTCAGAGAATATGAAACTCCTTAGTCTTCACTGAAAGGGTGGAACAGGGATTAGGTAAACAGACAGAAGTGCTCTCAGTCATGGAGAAGAGCAGCACTGACGAGCTGAGGTCCCAGCGAATACGACGTGCATGCAGGATGTATGGGACCTGACAGACTGAGCAGAGGGCAGCATGGAGGAGCACGGGGAGTCAAGTAGGGCAGCGGCCCTATACCTGGTGGGGTACCAGATACCTGTGCGTTGTTGGAAGGTAGAGCATGGACAGAATATAGTGGTCCTTGGGGATGCCAGATGCAGGAAATTAAACCTGATATAGTCCTGTGCTTTTCAAGAAACTCCCAAATGCTCTGGACATTATTAGTTACTCCATCCCCCATTTCTCCACAGGAGATTCCCAGACCTCTGCTTTAGTTTTTGTCACCTGCTGTGTCTTGAAGTTTTTATGTGTGCACCTGCTTTCTCCCTTCAGGACATGAAAGATATCTTAATCTTCTTTAGATCCCCAGTGTTCAGGAATGTTCTGGCTACAGAGTAGATACACCTGTGAATGCTGTTGAATTCAATTGAAATAGGGAGTCTGAATGGCCAAGCAAGATGAGTGAGGTGGGCCACCCATCTTAGTGGTGGAGCTGGATGAGGAGGCTCATGGCTGCCAAGTGTAGAATGCACCTACTGCCAAGGGGCTCAGATTCCATGTCACAGGATGGGCCAGATGGGAAGCAAGGGATCGAACTCGTGCTGCAGAGGCAGCGGATAGCTTTATAGTACTGTGACTTTACCCCTTGCACCACCAGGGAGGCCCTAAATTTTTATTTTCTTACATCCTTGTAGTCCCCATAGTTCTCCCGCCACCATATCACCCCTGAGCCATCACCATATTCCCTTGTGCTCTTCCCTCCACTGTTTTAACTTACCCTCTCTCTCCCCCTCATTACTGTGTGCCTCAGATCTAGGGTCAACTTGCTAGTTTTATCTTTTTCTTGACCTTTTATTTGGTTTCTCTATATTCTGCATATAAGTGAGACCATCCAATAAGTTTTCCTTCTGACTTACTTTGGGTAGCATGTTTTATAATTCTTTAAATTGAGGTAACACTGCCTTACAATCTCTGATTGAGAGACGCAGGGCCCTGCCTCTGCAGACGGTGCTGCTCCCCGCCTCCTGCACGCCCTTGCTCGCGGCAGGGCTGGAGCCCAGGGCGACACGGGCCTCCTGCAGTCAGGTCTGCCGTGCTCTCCAGGCTGGCGATTGGTAGAGTCTCTGTAATAAAGAACCACATTAAAGTGAGGTTATATTTCTTATAGTCAGTCTCATCAAGTAATGCTGTAAGGATTTTAGAAAAAGTAAATTATTTAAAAAAAGAGAGGAGGGCAAGAGAAAGGGGATAAAAGAACCCTAAACAATTCAGTCACAATAATGACCCTTGCATTATTATGGCAAAATTACTTAGAAATAGAAGCCAAAGAGGAAAAACAAGCTGTGTTTGGTAGGTGTACTCTCTGTTCCCTGCCTTGTTTTTCTGCTCTAAAGTATAGCACTGTGTTGACGTAGGGATGTAACTGCTATGAATATTGATGGCAGCAAAAACCTTCTTTTTTTCCTTCCTGGCCTAGTAAATAAAACAGAAAGGATAAAAAGGGAAAAGAAATTGTAAAATCAGTGAGCTGTTTTCAGCTTATCTTGTTCTGTTAGAACTCCGAGTCTCGAAAACATACTAATGATCTGCATTTGATGGCCAGGGTCTCATCCAAGCCAAGTGGATCCTTATTGTAGGGATTTTTGCTTCTGGTTAAAGCAACAGAATTGGATTTCCTCTTAGCTCTCAGAGTTACTATTGCTGCCCCCCTTTAAGCCTTCTTGCCTCTCTTCTCCCTACCTCCTGGAAAAGTGGGTCCTTCTTCCTCATAAAACACACAGTGGTGTGAATGTGCCTCCCTTGGGGGCACCCCATCAGGGATATGGCCATGAAGAGGAAGATGAGCTCTTGCTCACAAGAGGCTCACAGGGAACATGAAGCGTAAACAAGGAGTCCTTGGAGGTTTGTATGTGGCAGGAAGGGGCACGGGTGCTGCCAGGCTAGGCGTGTCTCCCCAGGCTACTCACCCAGCCAAGAGCGTGGCTCTGCAGGGTCAGGGTCTCTGTCAAGGAAGGTCTTTGATGCTGGTGAAGGGATGGGATGTATAGATGAGCCAGGCCCAGACAGGCCTTTTTGGGGGGAGTGTGAAGAGGCAGAACTATGAAAGTGGGGAGCCATCTTGTAAAACTGAAAACACTGAATCTGGCAAGTTCATATCACAGCAGAATTTACTAGACCACTGTGATGGTGTTCCCAGTATCCAACCTGGAGAGCAGGCTGGGAATGTCTGGGACCTGGGAAGGAACTATGGGTGAACTGGCTTTTAGTCATGACTTGGGGATCCCAGAACGGGGTGAAGGCTGGGGTACCACAGAGGCTGGATGGCTCTCCTGGTGTTCAGGAAGAAGGATGCAGTGGCATATACTGGGAGGTTCAGCCCAGGAGAGGAACTTCCTGGTGAAGAGGGGTAGCACTCCGGTGGCAGGCTGCCAGGCCCAGGGTGGCTCAGGTAAAATAGTGGTCATATGAAACCAAGTCCTGGCAGCGAAGAAGTGGACTCACCCTTGGGCACATCGGAGGCTCAGGATGTAGAATTGCTCTTTGTCAATTCCCTCTCCTGGGATATTCTCTGTGTACACCTTTGGAAACCCCCACTCCCTCGCCTGGCTAAACCTTTCGAGGATAATGGATCATCCTCGATGTTCACCTAAGCCCTCCTGTTGGTGCAGTGCCGCTGTGCACAAGGGGTGCTCACTCAGTGTTTGCTGAGCCAAATGCATTTGACCTCTTGCTCTCAGTGTCTTAAAGAGTGAATTTCATGATTTCCATTTTCCTAAGGTATGGGTAACTTTCCTCGGGTCTCACAAAGTAGAAACAGTACTGGAAGACTTTATGGCTCACATGAAAGAGTTTCAGTTACTGATGATTTTTCATTTAGTTGCTGTTTAAGTAGCTTCTTGCCAGGGAATGCCTCTGGTAAAATTGATTGTACACATCCCCGTTGGTCCATATTTCTAAGGCAACTGAAACTATAAAGAAAATCTGGATAAAAAAGGAAAGAGGTGAAAATTTTAGACCTGCTGATGGAGGTGTTTTCTAGAGTTCAGATTCTCACACATTGGAAATGGAAAGGTTCTAAGAGTCAGCTAGTCTGACGGGGGACATCTTGGAGGGTGGTGCAGCCAGATGGGAATGGCTGCCGGGGCTGCTGACAGAGATGGATTCAGAGGCTGGGCCCAGGCTCCCTGGAAAAGTGCAAGGTGATGACTCAGAGGTGCCAGGGGGAGGTGGCAGGAGAGGTGCCCGCCAATAAACAGGAATGGATTGGTCATCCTGAATTTGCCAGACCCCTGTACTATGCATATGAGGAAACTTTGATCCGGTGGAGAGTAGGGACTTGCCCAAGGTCACCTTGCTGCCGAGTGACAAAGCTGATCCTCACTTCCAAGTCAGATATAAACCAAAGAAGAGGGGGTCAAAGCAGATGAATCTTCATCTTTTCCAAAGGATGTTCTATTCAGAGCCGCTGTGGGAATCTTTGTTGAACCCTGGTGCTTTTTCTGGGCCCAATTTGGCAATCTCAGGAGGAAAACATGCTGCGTTTTGCAAATGTGTGCAAATAACAAACATGCCCGTTATGTCCCAGGCAGACTCATTGCACACGCATCGGGGCAGGTGGCAAAATGCAATCATGCAGCTTGGAATGAAAAGTGTTTTACACTTAGTTGCTTATGAGAAATTCAGTGTTAGAATTAAAATGCCTTCCTGGCCCAGGTGCAGTGTTAATTGTTCTACTTCCTGTAATAAAATTTTGCTTGGAGAAAAAAATGCTTATATATCTGAGATAATGATTCTAATACCTTTTTCTTTTCTTCCTTTTTTTGTTGTTGTTTGTTTCTCTTCACAGGAAAAAGTAGAATATGCCTTCCTGATTATTTTTACAGTCGAGACATTTTTGAAGATTATAGCATATGGATTATTGCTACATCCTAATGCTTATGTTAGGAATGGATGGAATTTACTGGATTTTGTTATAGTAATAGTAGGGTAAGTCCCTTTTATTTGGGGGGGAAATGTTTGTTTGCAAAATGGGAGGTGGGGAGTAACAGAAGACACGGTCTCGGGAGGGAAGGTAGCCATACTGCACAGAGTTGTTTGAAGACTGGCAATGCCACTGTCAACCTTTGGGCAGTGGTTTGAGATTCTCATTGTTGTCACGTGTTAGAAAAGGAAATCTAAGCTCTTGATAGATGAGGGTTCGTTCACCCAACAGGGGCCTGAGTCTTCACAAACGTGCCTTGCCGGTGACTAGAGTCAAATGGAGAACTTTTACACTTAGCACCCTGCTGAATTAAAAAAAAAAAACAATGAAGAAGTACTAATGCCTCCACCACAGTGAGGTCCTCTGCTATTCAACATCCCTTGAGCAAAACTATTAATTTTTTCTGCTGACTTGTGGAAAAAACTTTGGCATGCTCCTCTTCCATTTAAAAATATCAAAACAAGTGTCTGAATAATGTCAGCTATCTGGCATGAAAGGAAATAGACCAGAAAATACAGAGTAGCAAGCGTTCTCCTGAAATTCTGTCACAGGAAGAAAACACCAAGAGTTTCAGTGAGAGAATGTTTAATTAAAAATAGTGGCCTGTATTATTCTGTTCCTTTCACACCTGGAAATACTGCTAGCAGGAGAAAAAGGAACCAGGGTCAGAGGTCTGCTGGGCCTTTACGCCAAGTACCCACCTAAGAATATAAGATATATTCCTTTGTGAATCGAACCACCAGCTGTGAGATGGATGACTCCTAAAAATTACATTTGTTCCTATACAGAAAGATTGTTAAATGGCCTCTCTGTATTTATCTCCATGATTTTGTTTAGTTGTCTTTGGCAGCTTTTGCAGTTCAGCACAGTGTTTTTCTTTTAGATTCTTCTTCTTATCATGAATCCTTTGGCTTTTAATAGGAGACAAATACTGATGACTATTGGAACAGTGGGTAAAATTTCAGCCTGTCCTTTCAAGGCTTCGAAGTTAAAATGGGATCCAAAGTAGTTGCCCAGTGGAATAATGAATCTTAGAAAAAATTTTTAGCTTTTTCAAAAAGCACCATAGTACATTGGCATAAGGCATAGTACATTGCACTGCAAAGGTAGTGCAACTAAAATGAAGTGGTGGCATTAAGTGTGTGCTTTATGCCTTCCTGAATTTGGTGAGCTCTAACAAGGAATGGCAAGCAGGAGCCCTTGCAAATCTATTGGTTCTAGAATAATCTTGCTGTGCTTCTTCAGACTCTGGAATTTCTGTTCAGATAAAGGACAGAGATGCTTAGCTCTGTTTCTTTATTTCCTCCCCTAAAATTACCTCGGCTTTTTGCCTGAAGACATTTTTCAGACTGCAGTGAAGCCAAAAAAAAAAAAAAAAAAAAGAAGCAAGTAGAGTGTGGTGGCTTCATTGGGTTGAAATGACAGAAACAAAGGTTCAGGGAAGTTGAAATTTAAGAGGCCTAACATGGAAGAGAAGGGAACTATCCAGAGAAAGAGCTCCACGAATACATATCGGGGCCTCTTGAATTTTGTCTGAAACTAAGCTACACTTACATGGGGTGAAATCTAGGAGGCCAGGCAATCAATAATACTAGGGGAAAAAAAGAAAAGCTAGGGTGAGAGTGTTGGAATTGTAAGCTAAATAATAACCAGAGCTCACACAGGCCTGGAAGATACTCAAGTTCTGAAGCATTGGAAAGACCTTACTGAACACCGGGACTATCTTTAGACACCCCAGAAGGGCCATTAGTAGTAGGGCTGAACTAGCTGTAGGGTAGCGTCTGGCAAACTATGGTCAATGGAAAATCTAGCTGCAACCAGTTTTGGTATGTAAAGTTAGACTCTGAATACTGTACATGGTTCAGTGGTACATGTTCTCACCTCTTCAGATACGGACTTAAGGAAATTATGACTAAAATGAGAAAGAAGGGACAATGGTAAAAATTAACAAGTGGAACTTAAAAAACTAAGAGGTAAATCTGAAATGAAAATTTCCCTGAATTGGCTTAATGGCAATTTAGAGACAATAGAGGAAAAAAAAAATTGAACAACTTGAAGACTTAACAGCAACACAAAGAGTAACCATGAAGGAAAGGACTACCTTTGACGTCCCAGAAGAGAGGTGATAAAAGGGAAGCAGAAAAAAATATTTGAAGATGTGTTTCCAAGTTTTCTAAATATGATGAAAAATTAAAAACTCACAAATCCAAGAAGCTCAACAAAGCCCAAGCAAAATAAACATAAAGCTACATCAAGGAACATCATCATCACGATCAAATTGTGCAAAACCAAAGGTAAAAAAATCTTAAAAGTCAAAGGAAGATGATATTGCAGATCTCCCTTCAGCAGTGATGCAAGCTAGAGACAATAGAGACATCCTTTTTTCTTTTAACCTTTTTTTTTAATTTAAGTATTTCATTTTATATAATTCTTACATCTTTTTTCATCTTTGCACAATGTATGCATTTTCATTTTAGTTATATTCCCCATACAATTGCACCTCCCCCCTTATTTTGACTCTAGTCCTTTCTTTCCTTGCCCCTCCCTCTCCCCCCCACAGTGTCTCTCTGGTTTATAGTTGCCTGTTGATTTTGATTTTTACGTTGTATTGATTAGTCTTTTTCCTGGTCTGTTATTTAGGTTTTCTAAATTCCTGTTAAGAGTGAGACCATACTGTATTTTTCTTTTTTCTTTCTGACTTATTTCGCTGATAGAGACATCTTTAAAGTGCTAGAGGAAAATATCCACCGGATTTTTTTTTTTCTTTTTTTTTGAAGTAACTGCATTAAAACAGTATGTAAGTCTTAGGTGTCCATCATTGAGAATCAGCATGTGATATACTACATTACATTTACAACTGAAAGTCCAATTTTATCCTTCACCATACCATTGTCCTCCTTGTCCCAATTTACTTACCCTCCCCCCATTTTCCCTTCCCATCTGTAATGACTAATTAAGAGAGGTGAATACACCCTCATGTTTAATGTGGCACTGTTTACAACAGATGAGAACTGGAAACAACCCAAGTGCCCATCAGTTGACAACCAGATTAAAATAAAAATGGTGTATGTACTCAGTGGAATACTACTCAGCTATAAAAAAGATGAAATTCTTCCTTTTGCAAAAACATGGATAGACTTGCAGGGAATTATGCTTAGTGAAACAAACCAGATAGAAAACAAACAAACACTTATATGTGGTATAGAGAGAAAACAAACATGAATTCAATAAAACAAAAGTAAATCCAGAATTCTTATTCATTGAAGATATCTTTCAAATTGGAATTTTAAAAAAAAGTCAGACAAGGCAAATCTGAAAATTCATCACCTGTAGGTCTGTACTTCCACAAATTGTTAAATTTCACACTGGGGAAGGTGACACCAGATAGAAATACAGGTCGATACAAAAGTGATTAGAATGCTTTAGAAAGGGTAAATGCATGGATAAATATAAAAATGTTTTTTCTCATTTAAAAATCCAGTTTAAAAGTTGATTGATTATTCAATCAATATTGATTATTCAAAGCAAAAGTAATTATTGTAGGATTTACAGGTTCTATAAAAGTAAAATATGTGACAGTAGTACAAAGGAGAGGAATAAGAAGAGTCATAAACTATTGAAAAGTGCTTGTATAGCAGGTGGATGATCAACTATTTAAAGACAGGCAAGTGATAAGTTAAATGTGTATATTGTAAACACCAGAGAGTGGCCAGCAAACTTTGGTCTATAGACTAAATCTGGTTTACTGCCTTTTAAAAAAATGTTTTGACAAAATATTTTGCTGCCTGTTTGGCAAATAAAATTTTATTGGAGACTCCTGTCTAAGACTGTTTGGTCTTAGAATGGCAAGGTTGAGTAGGTTAAGTTTGCAAATCCTAAAATATTTACTCTCTGGCTAACCTAACTGAAAGTCTACTATCTGACTAAACTTTACAGAAAATTTTTGCTGACATTTGCTGTAGATTAGCCACTAGAAAAATTAAGAAATATAGTTAATAAGCTTATGTTGGGGAGTAGATGGATTTTTTTAAAAGAAAAAGCTAAAAAAGAACAGGGAGAATAAAAGAGGAACAATGGACAGAGCAAAGAGAAAACAAATGGCAAGATGGTAGATTTAAATCCTTATTAAAATAGAGTTTATCAGATTTTACATATTAAAAACCAAGTCCCAATTCCATAGTGTCTACAAGAAATCTTTTTTAAATTTGTCTATAAGAAGTCTTTAAATGTAAAGTTGCAAATAATTTGAAAGTAAAGAACAGAAAAACATCATGCAAAAACTAATCAAAGAAAGCTAGTGTGGCTATATTAATGAATATTCAACAAAGTAGACTTCAGAACAGAAAATACTGTCCAGGGTAAACAAAGATATTTCATAATGATAAAGGAGTTAATTCATCAATAGGATGCAATAATCCTAATCCTCCATACATACATGCATATAATAAAGGAGCTTCAGAATACTCATCACAAAAACAGAACTGAAGGGAGGAATAGACAGATCTATGGTTGGAGTTCAACTTTTAAGTTCTCTTTTGAGGAGTGCTGATAGAACATCTAGATGAAATACCACTAAGGATATAGGGAGACTTGGCTAGTGCTGTCAGATAACTTCCCTTCACATTTCTAGACTACTCCTCCAACAGCAGAGTGCAGGTTCTTTTTGCATGCACTTAGAATATTCAGCAAGAGACATAATATGGGCCATAAAACATGACTTGCTGAATTTAAGAAGAATAAAATCATATAAAGTTATATTTCTGGAATGAATTTAACAGTGTTTCTGGATAAAAAGTTGGGTATAAAACCATGAATTTTTATATAGTAGTCATGAACAACTGAAAAATAAAATTTTAAAGAAATTGCTATATACAACAAAAGCATGAACTATTCATGAATACACAGTGTAGTGTAAGCTAAAAATTGCTGAGAGAAATTGAAGATGACCTAAATCAGTGGAATGAGATACATGCTTATGGACTGGAAGACACAATCTTGTTGAGTT